GCCGAGGCTCATCACAAGGCCATTGGTTCCGTCGACTCCAAAGGCGTGACCTCTGCAGCCGACTATGAAGCCGTGAACGCAGCCTTGGGGCGCTTGGTGGCATCCGTGCCCAAGGACACGGTGATGGATGTCTACAACTCCATGGCCAAGATTGTTGACCCGACCGTCACCAACAACATGTTCTCTAAGGTGAACCCGCTGGACGCAGTGGCTGCAGCGAAGGGCTTCTACACCTTCAAGGATGTTGTGCAAGCTTCTCAAAGATGAAACTGTTATGGTGAGGTAACTTCCGCGTGAAGCCAATACTTGAGTTCTCACGCTTTTTAAACCTCAGCCTGTACAGATATTTTTTCGTATTGTGAGCTGCTTCCGAGAATGTTGAGCCTGGAGACGCCAAAACAAGTCTTCCCACCGGTCAATCCCTGATTCTCCGATAGGGGTGCAAGAGAATGCTAATCAGACAACGCCTCTGTTCCCAGGCACAGGGCTGGGGAAATGTCGGCTCTGCAGAAGCGCCGTCGTCATCAGCACCCTTCATCAACACATTTTTGGGTAGCTGGCGGATCGTCAGGGCGTGATCGTTCTGCTCGCATACGACGAGTATCTGGATCGCCAGGACGCTCGGATCCTAGAGACATGTGGTTTGCGGTCCACAGCTGAATGTTCCAACAGCATTGAGCATCAGAGGAAGCGCAGTTGTCTCCACAAGCTGCTTTGCTTCACCGCTTTGCTATCGCCAGGAGCGCCAACAGCACGGGCAATCCCACCAGCATCGCGAGACATCGGCCTGGAACCGGTACCACTGTAAGGCCCGGGCAGTTGAGGAGGTCTGGGCTGCTGAGTTTCGTTGTGAGTAAAGGGGGACTCCACCGGTTCTATATTAAATATATGTATTGCCGCTCACCATGTCTCTGACTCTCTCCCTCTCTCCATCTCTCTCCCGCTCTCACTCTGATGCACACACAGAGGGGCGTGGAGACATCTGAAACGGACTCCAAGCTAGAAGGGGCCTCCATAAACAGAAAGCCGAAGAGGAGCCTTGAGCCAGGCTGTGGCCGCTTTATGCGAAGGGCTGCCGGCCATCACCGTCTTAGCCTGTGCCTGGTGGAGTTTGTTCCTCGATTGCTTCGCTTTTTTGTAGCTGGATGCTGTGGCTTTTCGGGACTGCTGCTGGTAATCCTAGTACGAGTACCAGTGCTACTCCGACGGCGACATCGTCCTTACGGCCGTTAGCTTCATTTTATTGAAGTCTCATGTTTATGTGCGCCCGACAGCACTGTGCGAAGCACTGGCATTCAAACACAGTTATTGTGCCAAGGGCCGTTGTCCCGGCTGTTCCTGAAAGGAACTATCCACCCGAGAACCCGCTCATGAAGATGTCCTGGCACTTCGAGCGTCCCTTTCTGGGGATTCTAGGAATCCTATCTGCAAATTGAGCTGCAGTGCTGTATCGATTTCAAATTCGATGTAGATGTTTGCAGACAAGAACATGGTCCATTTTTGACAGGGTTCCTCGATCTCCTACAAACTCGAGAGTCTTGTGCGCCGTCACTAGCACGGGATGCCTCGGATGTAACGAGTCCTAGTATGGTTCGAACACACGCTTTAAGGACAACCACAGAACCAAGACATGCTCTTCTTGCAGCTGTAAGGGAGCAGGTTTCCTTGAGACCTCCAGCTCGCGCTTTGCCCTGGCATGTGCCCTCATTTCCGCCGCCCCCCTCCTTCCGAAACCCTGATCCGAAATCCGAGGTTTTTAAGAAGAAGGGGCCTAAGCTGAAACCCTCGGTAGTAACCCAAGGAATCATCCTTTTCATCTCTGCTGGATCCGGCATGGTGGAGCTTGACTTCTGCTGCTCGGGCGCTGTGGCGCGAGAGATGCGCAAGTCGTTGAGGCAGGTTGGAGCCGTGCTACAGTGCTAATAGTAGCAACATCCATACTAGCAGCAACAGTAAATGCAACAGCAAACACAGTAAGTCAGAATCAGAAGAGCAAGAAGCAGTCAGTCATCACACCGGCGTATGTTGCTTGCCAGTTGTGTGTTGTTTTTCCACATCGGTCTGCAGTCGTATGTGTTGCTACGCATCTGCTTGATAACCCTCTGCGCACATGAAGAGGTACGAGATGCTCCACTTGCTGTTTCGCTTTTGTCCCTTGGCAAAACTGGGCTTCGTTTGTGCAGAAGGTGAGACATCATCAACTAGTGTAAGTCATTGTGTCGTCTTCGGAATATCATACCAACGGACCAGCGACACCGTGGCATAGTGACTTCAGAGGCCGCGCCCATGGGCAGAACAGATCCACATGAAGCGCACATCGCAGGTACCGTTTCGTGCATTTCTCCCTATCCCCTCCCTTTTCACATTTGAGGACCGACATCATGAGCATCGTTGGATCATGAGTATCATGGGGACCTCGTTTCTGCTCGTCCTCCGTGGGGAGCGTCGTGTTCGTTCTGCTGTCGGGGGGGCTCAATGGAGTCAGGGGCAGTGAGCCCGGGAGGGTCCAGGTTCTGGTCTCATACTGATCCTGACATGGGGAGACGGGAGCTATACAAGCTGCTTCATAACATGTCTTCTTGCCGGGTCTCAGCTGAAAGGGGGCCTGCGAGAAGCCAACAATGACTCGTGTCCACTTCCAAAGAAGATGGAGTCTGAGAAGGGCAGGCGGCTCTGCGGGCACGGCAGCTCTTGTATCAGCTGGCTACAGTGTCTGCACGGGCTGCAGTTGTTCTCCTTTGCTCTTTTGGGCTATAGTTATCTGGGTCCTAGTTGGACACAATTTTACATTTCTGTTATAATACAACCCGATAAGGATCAACAATGATCGTCTTTAATATAGCCCCAACAAGGAACCTGATATGGTTTCTTGTTATCCTGAGCCGACACATTGGACTGCGGCGGCTGTTGCACCGGGAGCCCATGGGGCTCGGAGCGGAGACTGCGGGGAGGTTGTCGTATCAGAACAAGCGGCGTGAAGCCTCCCTTGAACGGGGGTCGGCGGATAATTCAATCAGGATGTGTGGGTGTGCATGTGTGTGTGTGNNAGGTGAGGTGCTGAGTCGAACAGCCCACTCCTCAGTCTCAGCCTATAGAGTTCTAATCCAGAGTTGCTGGTAAAGGGCTTTAAGTTTCAGGGCTCAGCGTTTAAAGGGTGTTCTGGTTAGCCTATAAGGTTTCAGAAGTTTCAGGTGATGATGGTGGCCTTTGTTGTGACCACTCGCCATTTGGTCTCTTGGTGGTGGTGCCCGGCAGCATCCAATATCATCTTCACGTACCTTCTCGTGCCTGTGCCCTGCA